TGGATGGATGGATGGATGATGGATGGATGGGTGGGTGGGTGGATGGGTGGGTGGGTGGATGCATGGATGATGGATGGATGCATGGATGGTGGATGGATGATGGGTGGATGGATGGGTGGATGCACGGATGGATACATGCATGGATGGATGGATGCATGCATGCATGGATGGGTGGATGGATGGATGGGTGGATGGATGGGTGGGTGGGTAGATGGGTGGGTGGATGGATAATGGGTGGATGGATGGGTGGAGGGATGTGTGGATGCATGGATGGTAGATGGTGGATGGACGGAAGAATGCATGCATGCATGGATGGATGAAAGTATAGAGAAATGATGAACAACTTGCTCTCCTCAGGAAGAGCAAAACAATGGGTAAGTCTGCTGTATCCTCTTGAACCACCCCCACGCTGTGTGTGCACGGGTGTGCCCAGACACACATGGGGCTGGGGGGGTGTGGGGGAGGGCTCCTCCGTGCTGCACAGAGCCCAGAACCCAGAGCCCATGGCCCGTGCTGTACTTGGCAGGTCCCGGGCTGGCCTTCATCGCCTTCCCCAAGGCCGTGACCATGATGCCGCTGTCACAGCTCTGGTCCTGCCTTTTCTTCCTCATGCTCATATTTCTCGGGCTGGACAGCCAGGTACACCCTGCTCTGCCCTGCCCACCCTGCCCTGCTCTGCCCTGCCCACCCTGCCCACCCTGCCCGGCCCAGCCCGGCCCAGCCTGCCCTGGGACCTTCTTCCAGCTCCTACTCTTCCTCACCCTGCCTCGAAGCCTTCCGCTGCCCAGGGCTGTTATTTGGGGTTCCCACTGATGTCCCCCCACTCTTCTCCCGGCCACTCGGCTCTGGAGGCCTGGCTTCAGCCCCACAGCCTTGTGGACAGAACCTTCTTCCCCTCCCTGTCCCCCCCCACTCCCAAGCCCCCGCGGCAGGGCAGGCCATGTGGGGGGCGCCCGCACAGCCCCTCACCGCCCCCCCCCCACAGTTCGTGTGCATGGAGTGTCTGGTGACCGCCTTCCTGGACATGTTCCCCGGGCAGCTGCGCAGGCGCGGCCGCCGTGAGCTCCTTATCCTGGCCATCGCCGTCCTGTGCTACCTGGTTGGGCTCCTGCTGGTCACCGAGGTGAGGGGGCCCCCGGGGAGGAGAGCCCGCCGGGGAGATGGCCCCTGCGTCCTGTCCCTGTCCCCTGTGTCCCTCTGCCCGTCTCAGGCCGAGGGTCCACCTGGTAACCAAAGGCAGGTGGTGGCCATTAGCGGCTCCCCTTTTCCCAGCCAGCCGACCCAGGAGGAGGAAGAGGAAAGGGATCCCCCCACCCCAGCCCTGACCACCCTCCGCCTCCACAGGGCGGCATGTACATCTTCCAGCTGTTTGACTATTACGCGTGCAGCGGCATCTGCCTGCTCTTCCTCTCTGTGTTTGAAGTGATCTGTATTGGCTGGGTGTACGGTGAGTCCCTCCACCCCCCTTCCGCCCCGGGAGGCAGCAGCAGGGGAGGGAGAGCTGGGAAGGGGCAGAGACAGCCAGGGGCTTCCTGAGAGTGGGAAGCCCGGCGTCTCTCATTCGGATGGCGAGAGTCCGGTTCCCGGCAAGGCCCGAGGAAGCTGCTGAGCCCCCAACCCCGGCTGGAGCCCCCTCCCACACACAGGCCCTCAGCCCCCCACCCCCACATTCCCTCCTTCCCCTTGCAGTGGCTGGCTCAGTGCCTGGGCGTTGCTTGAATACTTGTACAAGCAGGACCCTCACGCCCGCGTTTGCCAAGCTGCCTTTCCCACCTGTGTGCCCGCCCGTGGCGCCCGCCAACCCCAGCTGAGCTACTCGGGAAGGCTGAGGACCCCCGGCCCCAGCCGGCCCCACACTCCGCTTAAGTCTCCCGCAAAAGGCTGGAGATGGAGCTGTGGCTCAGGTGGTAGAGCGCTTGAGGGCCTGAGCTGAGGGACAGGCCCCGAGTTCAAGCCCCAGGGCCGGCGCAGAGTGGCCTTTCCCACGGCAGCTGCCGGTGCTTGTGGGGGGACAGGCACGGGGGGGAGGGGCACCCCGCCTTGTGGTGGTGGCCCTGCCCTCCCCCCAGCTCTGCAGCTCCCAGGGGGCCACCATTGCAGGGAGGGGCTGGGAGGAGCCCAGGGGCCCGGGGGACACCCCCTCCTTCTGCTCCTCACCCTCGCCTTGCCTGGGCAGGGGCCGACCGTTTCTATGACAACATGGAGGACATGATCGGCTACCGGCCGTGGCCCCTGGTGAAGATCTCCTGGCTCTTCCTGACACCGGGACTCTGCCTGGTTCGTGTCTGCCTGCCCGCCTGCCTGCCCTTCCTCCACGCCCTGTGAGACCCTCCCCCCTCCCGATGCCCTTCCTCCCGTTCCTGCTCCATGCCTTCCTGTCAGCCTCGCCCTGCCATTTTCTTCCAGGAGCTCCACCACCCTTTGCACCTCTGCCTGCTCCATCCATGGGGGGGGGGGGGTTTCCTGGCCCTGGAGGCCTCCGGGCTTCCGCTGGGGTCTGACCTGCCCGGGCTGTGGGAGCAGCTGGAGGGCCTCCCTCATGGCCTGCTCCTCCCTGCTTCTCTCCGCGCAGGCCATCTTCCTCTTCTCCCTGAGCAAGTTCACGCCTCTGACCTACAACAAGGTGTACGTGTACCCACCCTGGGGCTACGCCATCGGCTGGCTGCTGGCCCTCTCCTCCATGGCTTGCGTTCCTCTCTGCGCCGTCATCAACCTGCTACGGGCCCGGGGCTCCTTCACCGAGGTAAGCAGCAAGCTGGGTGCTGTGGCTCAAGCCTGTCATCCTAGCTACACACGCACGCACGCACCTGAAGATGCGGGGGACAGGGAGGTTGCAGTTCAAGGCCAACCTGGGCTTAAGAAGTTACCGAGACTCCATCCCAACCACTGACCGGGAGCAGTGGCGTATACCTGTCATTCCAGCTACCAGAGAAGTCCAGGGGTAGGGCACAGTGTCGTATCCCTGTCACCCCCAGCACCCCAGGGAAGGACAGGCTGGCTGGGATATAAAGTGAGACCCTACCTTGAAAATAATTAACAAGTGCCAGGCAGGCACTGGTGGCTCACGCCTGTCATCCCAGTGACTCAGGAGGCTGAGATCTGAGGATCATGGTTCAAAGCCAGCCTGGGCAGAACAGTCCCTGACACTCACATCTCCAATGAACCACGAGAAAACCGGAAGTGGTGCTATGGCTCAAAGTGGTAGAGCGCCAGCCTTAAAACAAAACAGCTCAGGGACAGCGCCAGGCCCTGAGTTCAAGACCCACAAGGGGTGGGGGGAGTAGTTGGCATAGGGCCCAGCTGCTCAGGTGTCAGTGGGGACGGGCTGCCCCGTCTGTCCTGCCCTGCCCCCCCCAACACACCGGCCACACGCGCTGCCACCAGCTCTGCCCCAAAAAGGTGGGCGTGGCTCCGGCCATCACCTCTGTCCACATTCCACCTGGCGAGAGGGAGCAGCCAGCGGTAGCGGTAATGCCGCGCGGTCCTGTGGTGACAAGGATGGCCGTGACAGCGTGGTGGCCCCGGCCCATGCCCTGGGACGAGAAAGCGGAGCTGGCTGGCCTCTCGCAGCCCGGGTCCGAGCTGAGCTGAGCACACCTGCTTTCCTCTCCGCAGCGCCTCCGGCAGCTAGTCACGCCCGACCCCAGCCTGCCCCAGCCCCGGCCGCGCCCCAGCACAGAGGGGGGCCTGGCCCAGGAGGGCAGGCCCCCCACCGCCAAGGAGGGCCTTGTGGCTCAGAAGGAGACGCACTTGTAGCAGGCGGCTCTGGACCAGGCCCCCTGGGAGACAGCGTCTGCTGAGACCTGGGGGTGGCGGGGTGGGGGGCACCGTGGGCACCCCGCTGGGCTCTGGCTGAGCCCAGACCCCGCCCAGGCTCGCTGACCTCGCCCTCAGCTGTGTTCCTGTAGTTTTTATTATTATTATTATTAGCATACATCCGTTATGCGGGGGAGGGGGGTGCCATGGCGATCATGTGTGCACTGTACTCCAACCCCCTCCCCCTCCCTACCGTCCCCCCAACCCCCTCCGGAAACAGTTTCAACAGCCTCGACTGTTCCCGGCTTCATCCAGGAAAACCTTCAAGGCACCCCCTGTCAGCCTCCCTGGCGCCCAGCCGCCCGGCACAGCCTGTACCCCTCCACCCCGGCCCCCCAGCCCATCCACTCAGCGTATTCCAAAACTACACACCCTACCCTGCCCCTTCCCCTCCAAAACTACACACCCTCCCCTGCCCCTTCCCCTCCAAAACTACGCACCCTCCCCTGCCCCTGCTCCAAAGCTACACACCCTCCCCTGCCCTTCCCCCCCAAAACTATGCACCCTCGCCTGCCCTTCCCCCCAAAACTACGCACCCTCGCCTGCCCTTCCCCTTCTCAGTACTCCTTCTGTCAGAATGGCATACCTTGTCTTTCTAAATACATAATTCTATGTACAGAAATACATGTGTGTGTGGGTGCATGTGCGTGTGTGTGCGTGTGTGTGTGTGTGTGTGTGTGTGCGCGCGCCTGTTCGTGAGTGGAAAAAATACAATAGGTTTATGAGCTCATCTCAGTCTGGCGTCCTCCACTTTACATTCCTTTTCCTGCCGGTGACGCGACTTCATTTTCCTTTTCATGGCAGTGTACCATTCCATTCTACATACACAAACACACACACACACACACACACACACACACACTGTCTCCAGCATTTGTTGTTAAAATTGCGATCGTAGTGTGGTTTTGATGTGTGTTTCTTTTCTGGTTACCGTTGAGGAATGTTTCTTCCTGTATCTATTAGCTACATGTGTGTGTGGTGTGTGTGTTTTATGCTCATCCTGGGCCTTGAACTCAGGGCCTGAGCACTGTCGTCCCTGAGCACTCTTTCGTGCTCAAGGCTAATGCTCTACCATGTAAGCCACAGCGCCACTTCTGACTTTTTCTGAGTGGTTGATTGGAGATAAGAGTCTCACTGACTTTTCTGCCCAGGCTGGCTTCAAACTGGGATCCTCAGATCTCAGCCTCCTGCGTAGGATTACAGGCGTGAGCCACCGGTGCCTGGCTTCCTTTTCTACTTTATAGAAGAGTTTGTGCAACTATTGGTGTTGTTTGAAGTAGAGCTTAACTGTGAATCCATCTGGTCTTCCTTGAAAGACTATTACTGCTTCAGTCTCCTTGCTTATTATACTTCTATTTAAGTGATTTATAGCCTCTTGGTTAACTTGTATCTAAAAATGTATCCATTTCGCATCCTGCCTCCATTTTTGTTTTAAGTGTAGGTTTTCAAAGCATTCTCTCATGAGTCTTCGGATTTCTTTGATATCTGTGGTTACATTTCCTTTTTTACTTCTAATTTTGATTTGAATCTCTTCCCTCCTCCTTTTAGTCAAGTTAGAGATGGGTTTGTCAATCTTGTTTATTTATTGCAAAGAGCCAACTTTTTATTTTACTGATTCTTCATATAGGAGGGGTTTTCTTTGGTCCCAGTTTTATTAATTTCTTCCCTAATCTTTATTATTTCTTTATTATCTCTACTAATTTTGGACTTGGTTTGTTCCTGTGTTTCTAGAAGTTCAAATTGCATCATAAGGCGATTTATTAGAGGGCTTTTTAGCTTCCTGTTTTCTTTTTCATGGCTATAAATTTTCCTCTCAGCCCTGCCTTTGCTCTGTCCCAAAGGTTCTGGTAAGATGTGTTTTCATTTTCCTTAGTTTCCAGGAACATTTCTGTTTCTCCTGTGACCTGCATGCCATTCAGCAGTCTGTGTGTGTGAGTATTTTCTCTACTACGCTCTGCTGTCGGGTTCCGGTTTAATTCCATTGCGGCCTGACAGAACACACGGAGCTATTTCGAGTGTCTCTTGCTTGCTCAGACTTCCTTTATGTGCTGAAATGTGGCACTGTGGAGAAAGTTCCAGGACTGTGGAGCAGAAGGTGTCGGGCATTGTGCACTGTGTGTGGGCCCCACAGTGCTGTGGTGTTACTTAACGCTGAGGTTCTTTGTTGGGGAAGGGGAGCAGAAGGCAGCCATCTCTGCACGGTCCCGGGGTCCTCTGGCCTTGGGAATGGGGGGCCCCTGACCCTGCCTTCTCCTCAGGGTCACCATCAAGAAGCTGGCCAGGCGCCAGGCGCCGGTGGCTCTCGCCTGTCATCCCAGCTACTCAGGAGATCTGAGGATCGTGGTTTGAAGCCAGCCAGGGCAGGAAAGTCCACGAGACTCTGATCTCCAAGGAACACAGAAAAAGCCTCACGTGGTGCTGTGTCTCAAGTGGTAGAGTACTATAGCATTGGGCAAAAGGATTTCAGGGACAGCTCCCTGGCCCCAGGACTGGCAGAAAGAAAGAAAAGAAAGAGAGAAAAAAGAATCTGGCCAAGACGGATGCAGCTACATCCTGAATCTTTTCTCCAATCTCCCACAACCCCCCAGGGCAGCTGTGGGAGACCTAACGGCTCTGGCGAATCCAAGACCCCACTCCCGCCCTCAGGCCTGGCCAGTTTGAGCCTTTGGGTCTGCCATGCAGGGGGAGGGGCTGGGGGAGGGCGGAGGGGGGAGGGAGGGATGGCAGGGGGTGGCTGTCAGGAGACTGCATTCAGCTATGGCATTCTCTTCTGCGTTGTGTTTTGCCGGTTGTCCCTGAGCTCCTTCATGCAGGGCCAGGCCGGGTCTCTTGGAGCCACAGCGCTCCACTTGTGGATTTCTGGTGGATCCTTGGGAGATCCCAGCCTCGGGAGCAGCCCAGATGGCAGGCGCGAGCCACCATGCCCAGCCGTTTTGTTGGTTGGTTGTGGTTTAAATCAAGAATAACATTTCCATTTGGGGTATGGCTCTGTACAGCACTCAGTGCCAGGCCCCGAGTTCAAACCTCAGTACCTCCAAATAATGAAGGGATGGATGAATGAGTAAGGAATTCCAGAATTCTCTTTCTTGCTCTCTTTCCTGAAAGAGCCGTGTGCTCCTTGACTGTAACAGAATGCTCTCTGCTGGGGTTGCAGGGGTGTGCCCAGCTCTCTGCTGGGGTTGCAGGGGTGTGCCCAGCTCTCTGCTGGGGTTGCAGGGGTGTGCCCACACCCAGCTGGGGTTGCAGGGGTGTGCCCAGCTCTCTGCTGGGGTTGCAGGGGTGTGCCCACGCCCAG